AGAAATTTTAACACGTTGTATTTGAAGTCACAGAATTGCACAACAGGAGACATGGTGTGATAATTTCACAGCCAAATTCCTCAACACTACAGGTTAAGGAAAATGAGGAGAGAAAGACACATGCTAGAGCTTAATGTACCTTCTGAAATCATTCTTTTCCTTCTTCCTACCCATAAAAATATACAGTGCGTAGCAAGTGAATCAAATGACTGATTACATGATACTAACAGGGTTTAGTAGGTTTCCTAACACTCAGGTGCTCTCAGAAACAATGTAATATCAATTATAATCAGATAATTATATTAATTACCTCACAACTAAACCTAGGCATTTGGTGTAGCTTTTTGCTCCGCATTAAAAACATTTAAGATCAAAGAAGGAAACAAGAAGCTATTACTTCAAGAGCCTGCAATAGGCTCGAAAACACATCCACTTGTTCCAAATAGGCAACAATGTAAAAAAAAAAAAATTACAAATATTTATTTTCCCTATGTTGCAATGTATTCTTACTGTTTTAATAGTAACAATGCATTTTTTATTATATAGCATGACAAGTTGAGTACATGGTAGAAAAGTGTCATATTATTGAATTAACGTTCACGTACAATCAAAGTGATTAAAGCGTATTATGTAACTAGTTACCTTCTTTTCAGTATTTTTGTTATTCATTTAATAAATTGTCACAACTTGGTATTTTACTGTCAGTCATCCAGTCAGGATGCATGTTAGCAAGATACTGCTATGCCCTTATCAAGGTGTAACATGGAAAGAAGTCAATTAGTTAACAGCAGATATATAGCAAATACAACAATCCCAAAAGCAACTTACCCCTGGTCTGGGCAGTGATAGATAGACACGCTTCTCTCCTATGAAGAACAGACACATTTACAACAAAATTTGTATGCAGATTTTAATCAATGGGATCACATGCCTTACTTCATGCTTCCTTAAGTTGCAGTACTATAAAAGCAATTACTTACCTGCAATTCCTCCTCTTTGAACATTGCAGGGGATTGCCTCTCCATCTTGTGCTTCCAGAGCCAAGAACTCTGCACTGCTCAGACTCTACCTCTCAGCAACTGGCAGTTAAGCAAGCTCCTCTGAACAGTTTTCCTCAACAAGATTTCTAGTCCCCTGGATGCAATCCACAAGCAAGTCAAGAAGCTCTCTCCAGTCACTGAGTAGCTATCGCTACACACACTCATTTTCTTGCAAAAGGTGCAGAACATACAACGGTAGTTCCACATAAGGCTTTTCTTGGCATGGGTTGGATGGTATAAAATTTGGAGTCACCAATGCCACTACTGAGAAATACCTAGGCAGGTTCTTCTAAGTAACGCAAATAAAACCCTCATGTTGCACTGTACTGTACATATCCCATGTGCACTGTGTTTTATAAAGAAAAAAGTTCTATAGCATTTTACACACTTACTGAATTCTTTCTTATATCCCCAAGAGCCCCAGATAATCCAAGTCTGAGCAAAACAAATGCAGGAAAAAAAAAAAAAAACAAACAACTTTTAGGTGTTGCCTAAAAGTCGGTAAGAAGAGTTCATCCACAGAGGAAACAGTGCCTGGACTAACAGCCTAGGATTATACTCCAGTTACCAGAAGACTTAATTATCTATGAAGATTTACATTTATTACAATAGATTCAGGAGACCAAAGTCTGTTAAATAAAATTAAAGTAAAATAAATAAAAAACTTAAGAACTAGTGAAAAATAGATGTTACCTGAAGAAACAATGGGCTACTCTAATGGGTATCGGTACCAGGTTTGCATAGAGATGATGCATCTCGACAAAGGCCAAGCAAAAAACCCTCCTACAATTGATTGCTATTTCCTCCTCTTGATCAGCTCCTACAGAAGTTCTGTTCTGAGTCCTCAGAAGACAGTTCTCTTGTGCATTCATGATTTTTTGAAAGTGTGCTCTTTGTCTCCCAACACCACAGAAAGATCATGAGCTCCATGTCTAGGCAACTGACTCCTAAAAAACCAATTTCAGTAAGTTGACAAGTGTCCCTCAACCCTCTCGGCAACTATGAAAAATGGAATACTTCCTTTCTAAGATCACCTCTTCCTTCCCCTACTCAGTTTTGCAAAAGATGAAATGAGCTGATAGCTCAAGCATAATATACTTATTTTTTTCAGAATGCAGAGTTATTCAGACACTAATTGCCCAAACATGCATCCAAGCAACACTTCTCATAATTTATACCAGTCTTTAATGAGAAGTTATTTACAACATCCTATGTATCAAAACATTAGCTAAAGGGCATGTAAGAGAGCATGTAAGACATACCAAGAACAAAAGCTAACTTGTAAGTTTAAAATGCTGTAGCATAAAAGAAACGTATACCATTTACCATTTACGTAGCTTGGTGCTACGTAAAAACACAGAAAGCTTTCACATAACAAATGGAATACAAACGCATACTGCGAGGACACGGTACTCACATACTACAAGGTGGGCATTCGGAATTATGGAAACCAAATGGAAAGAGGTGGTAAACAGAAATAAGAAAAAAAATAATTTGCTTTTGTTGTTCAAGCAATTCGCATTATTTGGCTTTCCAAGGTTTAGTTGCTCACCATGTTCAGAAAGAGGAAGGATCGCACTATTTATTTCTTGGAACATTTAAAAAAAAAAAAAAAAAACAACAACAACCTCAAAACACACACACACACACAAACACCCCACGTCACTGGACCACAGATACCAGACCTTTCAAAAATGCAGATCAAGTCAGGGCAGAGATAATCCTACTTCATCAAAAAATACTTAATTATACCAGTACAGTCACGGAGTTTATATCGGATGCCATTAACGGAATACTCATATACATTTTTTCAGGTATTTAACTTCCTTACTTTGTAAGTTAGATCTTTTCTATAATAGCAAAAGATTTTTTGCCATATTGTGATCTTCTTTTTATTTATTCCAGTCTGCCTTTGTTTTTCCTAATGTGTTTTCTATAATGTTTTTCCCCTTTTTTTAATTGAAAATTAATTTTTACTATTTTATCCTCTTTGTCTTCCAATTTTCCACTTTACAGTAGTTCCAGCCATGTTTTTTCCCCCAAAACATCTGTATTTCAACTTTAAATCTTGCTTTTGATCTCACTTCTCACCTGGGAGTAAGGCAGCTGCATCCCTGCTTCACACTTCTTTCTAGAACTCTAATTTCTCAATTGTGAAATTCTGATCTGTATCCCCTATTCACCTGCAGCCCTCCCGAATCCTCTAACTCCTCTCAAATCAAATGGGCAAAACAGAAGAGGAGGGCAGAAAAGGAAGTTATCTTCATGAATTATTCTCTCACTTCTGACCAAGTTACAAGGGAGCAATCAGGGGATTATTCACATTCTTCCCCAGCATGCTGAAACCAAAAGTTAGAAGGGGAAAAAACGGAGAGACTGGCTGACCCCCGACAGATTGGGTCAACGAAAGGTACTTTCATTAGGTAAGTCATCTCAAAACGCAAGAGCCTCAAAATGAAGCATCTTAGGTAACCTAGTAATTCTCAGCGCTCGGTACAGCCCGCGGGGAGCGAGCCGATGCCTCCAGCGGGTGACCCAAATCTCCCAGCCGGCAGCAGCCACCTCTAGAAGAGAGAGGCCAGCACTCTCCTCAGCCCAGCCCAGCCACGCAAGGTTTCAAACACCAACAGCGTGCAGAACAGGCAACCTCACCGCTGGATTAAAAAGTTGTTTTAGGATTAAGCAAGAGAAGTCCCACTCTACCTCACTCTGCAGTTCTGCCTAGCAGAGAGACATTTTCAAAATACATGTGAGGGTACTGGGCTGTAGTGTGTACCCCAGCCTCCCCCACCCCACGCGTGCGTGTGCACCCTCCTCCCCAAGACGAGATCGCTTCAGTTTGGGCACGATCTGGTGTGATTACATTAAAATCGAGTAAAATATTGCTTCATTCCCAAGCTAAATCTGGCTCTCTATCCACTGAGTTTTGAACCTCAGTATGAGAAATACCTAATCTGCTGCTATGAAAGAAACACTGGATAAGGAGTTATGCAATTGCTTGTAAAAATAAAAAAAAAAATTAGTATGAACAACGTGAATCTAGTGTAATCAGAAAAGTGCTTATTTTATTAGATGTGTCCAGCACATATAGTCACCATTCAATTTTTACTTCTTAAACTGTATTCTGAACTCTCTAACAAAGCCAATCATTTAAACTGGTGGATTTGCAGTACAAAAATACAAGTTTTTAAACTGAGGAGGAAAAAAATACATACCTTCTTACTCTAATTCTATCTTTTGTTACACACAATCACAATTCTACTGGGAATAAAGCACTTGTTACATTTTAGTCTGTAAAATAAAGACACTTTTACCAACCTCAACATTAAGACAAGTATCATGAGTTACAAGAAGAATAAAATCTTATAAAATATTGTGAAACTTCATTGTGTTTGGAGGCAAAAGTTTTGTGAATGCCACTCATAATCTCGTAGCAAACAAATACTGTAGGTTTAATTTATTTATTGGGTCATAAGTCATGTTTTCTAGGAGAGAAAATGTTGAAAGTGGCAAATTTAGAGTATTTTCTGGAAGCAAATAGGTGGGGGTGTTTGCGTGAGATTTTTTCCTTTCTTTTTTTTTTTTTTACAAGTCACTCTGAAGTCTGACGAGAGGAAAAAAGCAAACAAAAAAAGATTAGCCCACAATACAGAAGAAAACTTTGTAGAAGATGGGTGGATATAGGAGACCAAATTATTTCTAAGGAGATAACTGACAGTTCATATGAAACAATCGAGATTCAGAGAGAAGTCCCTTACTAGGTTGGGCCACGAGACAAGGAAAAAGGAGACATGATTTCTTAAGCATAGATTTGGCAATAGAAGACCTAATGCACCCAAGGCCATATACAGAATACAAGCTATGCTTACTGTCTTACCAATGGTAGTACCAGATCACTTCATGCTGAAGCAAAGACTGAGGAAATGAGAGACGCCAACAAGAACAGACCCACCAGGCTAGGCCAAAGAGAATCACAGAATCACTAAGGTTGGAAAGGACCTTCAAGATCATCAAGTCCAACCATTAATCCAGTGCCACCATGTTCCCAAAACCATGTCTTGAAGCGCCACATCCCCGCACCCCGGCCCACACACGCTACAGCCTCCAACATGCTCAGCAACACCCACCCATTCTCATCTCTCTCCTTCAAGCAACGACACTGGGCTGCCTTCTGGAATGATGCTTTAAAGAAACTGCAAGTACCACTTGTGGAAAATGTCTGTTATCTGCTGTCAACCGCCACAGGAGAAGAGAAAGTTACTAACTCCAGGAGAGGCTGGGAATCTGCTGAAACACTTCAAGAACTATTTGTTTGGAGAGCCAAGTATATGCTTTGCTATGGCTGCACGATTCTTGTCGTATTATTTTTAAATACAGTAATATATATATGCATATACACACACATGCACACATATAAATATATGAAAAGGTTATCATTTAACCCTGCTAGACCATTGCATGAACATGAAAAAAAATCAGATAACTGCATGATCAGCCCTGCAAATTCCAAATTTATTGTAACGTATTAATGTTAGAGTAATACCACATTTTAAGATGCATTATATAAAATTTAATGCTATGTTTAAAGAAAGTCAGTAGATCCTTGGCTCCCAAAACAAACAAAACACCCACTGAAAGTTAAAAGGCCCATAAATAGGATCTCTGACTGCTACACATCTTGATATGGCATTCCAGACCAAGCTGGAAGAACAAGTAGGATAACAATCATGTACTTCTCAAACGCCTCAAATTCCCAGTAGCCTGCGCTTCACACAATTATTGTAAACCCACTCAGAATTTCAATACATGTTTTTCTTTCGCAAGTCTTCAGGCCCAGACACACATCTAGCAACCAGCAGCAACAATTTAAGGTATGACTGCCCTGCGGTTGGTTGTTTACCGTCCTCACAAGGAAGCTGGCAGAAAACAACCGCTTACACAAAAACCTGATCAAGTACAGAAAGTTAAACTGGCAAAATAAACTCTGAAAATGAAGACAGGTTTCACGTTAATAGCAAGATGAAGTATTGTATCATTGATAAAGTGTCATCTAACCTGAATAAGGATTTACTTTTTCTGTATCTTAGATACAAAAAAAAAAAGTCCCTGTTTTTAACTAAATCTAAACTTTTAAACCTGAGTGATTTTCTTAAAAATACGAGACATTCAGTATTATTATACATTACATTCCATCAGTATGCAATTATACCTTACAGACTGAAACAAACACGTAGCCGCAAGAAGAATGACAGGCTACACTAAAGACATCATTTGAAAAAAAATTAAGGTAGATAAAAATGAAAAACAAAATGGCTTCCATTTTTAAGGTAAATTGCCCTATGCTAAAAGTAAATACAGAATTTTTTTCTTAAGTTTCCCAGGTTTTCTTCTACATGTTGTACAAATACCAATAAACTTACCAACCAGAGAAAATATCCCAAGATTGTGCAGAGTCGTCAGAGATTCCATCCAGGAGAAAGGACAGCAGTTTAAAAATCAAATAACTACATTCACTACATTATCAAGTGAATACAAGACAAGCTGACAGTATAGAGTATGTATGTGTATATATGTTTTCCAGAAATACAGGAAATTAATTAAACATGTCTCAAAACTCATTGTTGTATCTTGATTGTCATGAACTGATACATTCTAGAAAAACCAAAAGGTGGGATGAAAGCCCTACATCGCTAGTATTTGGACACCGCTGGCAAAGAGCGGTGTTGAATACTTTTGTGTCCTTTGAACAGTTCCATTTGATTTTGCTGGAACTAAACACAGCGTAGAAAGTTAAACATACTCAATTTTACATAAATCAGGCCTTTAAAATTTTAGTTGTTTTTCTTTTTAAAAATCCAATAAGCACCCTAGTTTGACATCTAAACAAAACCAATATACTTGTGTATTGCCACCTAGATTCCACATTTCTATATGGGATGTGGGACTGTTTATTTGGAAGAAAACAGTATTTCCTAAATCACACTTAAAATTCTCAGACTACATGTTCTGAAAACTACATTTTTCTATTTGTATGTAGCATTCTTACCTCTTCTTCCTTCAAACACGTCATTGATTTCTCTTAACAACATAGAAATGTCACTCAGTTGAGACTCCCAGGCCTCACAGAACACCTCAAGATTTTCTTTTGCAATCTTGCTTGATGGATGTAATGCCAGTGTTTCTGCAGCAGAAATTATCTGGACAGAGAACAAACTATGTTCTATTGGAAATCTTAGTAAGTAGTGTTGCACACGAATTCACAAATGCCTTCACAGAGAAAAAAACACAAAATCCAATGGCTACTATTATGTCTTTGTAGTGTATTCATCTGACATTTGCAGGCTTGATGATCTTCCTTGTGCATTGTTTAGCCACCACCCAACATTAAAGTTTAACTTGTTCTTAGAACTGCTTTGAACAGTTTAACATTAGGCTTCCAAAAAATTTAAATTAAAATTAAAAGTAATTTTTATTTATTTATGTCCAGTAGAAGTGGCAGGATAAAAGCTATGCATACCTGTGGGCCAGTGACCTGAAAAGTGTCTTCTGCATGTATGCAAGTAATCTCAAGGGGCTCGGTTCCAGAAACATGCCTCAACAAGCGACACATCTAAATATTTTTTATTAAAATATACTTTCATAAGTAGTGAGAAAAAAGTGCACATGCACAAACACACACAAAGTTATTGATTATCCTTCCATAAAACTTATTGGGGACCGCACAGCTGGGTGTTTCTCAGGGAGCATTTACTATAAAACAGGGCTAAATCCTGACTTGGAATGTGTAGAAAATCACCAAAAGAAAGTAAAGTCTTAATAAATAAAAATAAAACAACAGCAATTTCACACATTTATGACTGAATAAACCTGAAAGTAATCAGATACCTATGAAACTTGGAAAAATTGTAGCATAAATGACTTCACCAAAACAGGCTTACTCAGCAATTAGCAACGATGTGGAAAATTTAGGCTTTCATCACCCAGGGAACTAAATTATCTTTGAGCAAAGCAGCGTCAAATTATTAGGGAAGAAATACTGTTTCCTTTCACAGTAAGCAAAATGTAGTGGGTTTTTTGGTTTGGTTTTTTTTTTTTGGCAAATAACATTAAGAGTGAACTTTGGGCTGAGAAGGAACAATGAAGTTTTCAAGTTTTCAGATTCAAAGGAGAATTTATAAGACTGAGACAGCATGTATTAAGCTAACTGCACTATCCATCGTCAGAAATGCTATAATGCCTGAAAAAAATCAGTGTCTCACTGCAACACTGATTACTCACAGAAAAAGAGGACATTAAAGCCAAAATTAAAAATCCACAGTGTTGATCTGCCAGTCCCAGAAGTTCAAGGGTGTTGCTTCTGCATATTCATACTTCTCGGATGAATCCTCAAGCCCCATACGATACCAGATTTTTTTAGAAATTAATGAGTGTTAGATGCCATGCAGGTATAGCTTCCAGCATCACCATCTTCCAGATCAAAATTATCTCTATCTTTGTATGTCTCTTACTGGTACAGTTACTTCTGCTCATCTCTCAGATGAGAAAGCAACAAGGTATATGTGGCAGACATCCTTTGTTGACTGACAAAAATTACACAAGATCTTCAAAACAGTCAAGTTCAGTGGATTAAGAGACTTAACCTTACATTCCTTACATTCTTAAAAAGTGTCTTTGGGTTGAGCTGTTGCTGGATGCCTGCTGCTTGAAAAAAAAGGCTATCATCTCTATTTTTCAATTAATATTTCAGCCCTAGTATATACACACAGATAATAGCGTTAAAAAATGACTTGGAGTCTAGGTCCAGGAGAAGAACTGGCTAAGACTGTACATGCCTTCTACAACAACTGTATGCCACAGCGACACCTCTGGCTCAGACCATACTAAGAACAATACAAAATTCAACAGTATACTAATAAAATAAAATAAAATAAAAATTATACCACCATCCCCCTTCCACCCCCCCGAAGCCTTCCTGAAGAATAGATCAAGACAAGCTGACCACTCATTTTCTAAGTGCCTTCCAAAATTAAAGCAGCCATGAACTCACCTCAACAAGCTGTTCTTTCTGCTCTGATAGCTTACAAGTATATTCTGCTACAGCTTCAAGATTTCCTTCTACTCCTGTGATTTTTAATGCTTTGAGAACCATATGATCTGTATGGTATTTTAGCACATCTGCTGCCAGAGATGTTGCTGCATTGTGGACCTTGAGTAGCATTAAAGGAAGGAGAGAAAAACATTAGATGGAAAAAAAAAATGCACCCAGTACCATGTCAAATAAACTTGAGACAGATTGATTTTACCAAGAAGCAAAAAATTTACTGCCATGAACACTCACATACAGCCTGCATATAATCTGGGGCTTTAACTCTTCAGTTACTATTCAAGTACAAAGATATAACCCACTGCACTCCAAAAAAAACAAACCCAAAATCAACAAACAAGAGAAAAACCCACAACCAAAGATGAAGAGAAACAAAAGAGCAGCTGGGTAAAATGAGGACATGAAGTTATCACACTGCTGTTTTCTGCTAATGTTACAGCTGGGAAAAACACAGGTGCATGAATTTGTGGGGCACCAAGTTGAGCATAAGCACAATGGCCACTCTACTTCTCATGAAGAAAACACATTAACATAATCAGACTGAAGCCACACAGCCTCCGAGTTTATAATAGAGTAGAAATTAAGTTCCTATGAATAAATTGTATTCTCAGTGATGCAAAGAAAAGCTTGAATATATTAGCTCACGACACAGCCTTAGAAAAGTAAAAAGCATCTTTTCTGCAAGGAGACTGAAGACAGAGGTGGGTCTTGGAGAAGTCTCAACACTCTCCCTACATTCCCCACAAGCAAGGAGCAGCTTCCCCTTGAAACACATCCCTAAATCCAGACACGCTTTCAGACCCATGGATCTGCTGAAGTTGTGCTGTGAAGGACTCTGCGTGACAATAGCTGTCAGCGGCAGCTGCTGCTAGTTCTAGTGACCAGTCATAGGAGGTTTACCCACACCCTGTAACCAGCCCCATTTTAAAAACACAGGTGAAAACAAAACAGCAACCTGTGTTAGAAATAGCAGAGCATTCTTACGTCTTCCTTATGCTCCTAAGACTGTTATGAGTCTCGTAATATTGCGCTCACTTTGCTGGACTGTGCTGAATATACAACAAATTTGTCTGTTCAAGAACATTATTTTCCAACTTCTTATGAATGCAATAAGCTTGACATTTTTACACTGGTGGGCCTTGACTCCTCAGAATGTTTACTATAATTGTAAGTTTGTTCCCCCCTCCCCGCCGCCCCGGACTCTACCTTTTTTTCTCCCCTTCCCCCGGCAGCACTTCTTGTGCAGTCCAGAATTAAGGGTGTTTTTTTGGGGGGGAGGGTTGTTTGTTTGTTTTAATTTCATGCAAGAAACCTGAACTGTTGCCTCAAAACCTGCTGCTACTGTTTTATGACAACCTGTTATAAACGATTTATATAGTGTTGTTTGCATGCCATTAAAAATCAGCACAAACCACTAACCTCAGAAATTAAGTCAGCTCTGAAGAAAGGATATCTGCAAAGCTTGTAATGTTAGAGAAGGAACTGACAATTCTCATTTATATATAGGCTACATAGAGATTTCCTTTTCATTAGAGATTATTTTCATCAGAGATTCTTTTCATCCTGATCTAAACAAGACACTTACTTCTATTTAATGCCATCTCTGATCATCAGCAAGAATGTAGTCTCAAGGAAGGAACATGCCTCTCGTTTCTTCCATAAAATGACAGAGATGGGAAACAGCTACTTTTACAGCCTTGTTAGGCTGTCTTGTGTTCTCAGCCACCCAGGCTCCCAAACCCATTTTAATTAGAGTTGCAATACTTAAATTTTACCAATAGAGAGCCTGGTTGCTGGCTGATACACCGCAGCACCAGACGTCAGAACGACAGGACAGTCCTTCTCAGCCACGTACAGAAACACGGCTACTCTGGAACCAACCCAATCACTACATGGCAAACAAGGAAAATGACATAATACTCTAAATTTGCTCTACTAAGTAGCATTAGTCCTATGCATTTTTAAAAAACGCTCTTATGAAGCAAGCTTTAATACTCTACAGGTCAGCAAAGCAAGTCATACAGCATTTAGGATTTGTTAGTTTAGAAAGCCACACCTACTCAGTTTGCTCCACAGTTTCTAGAACAGTGTGCTATGTTTTCACCTGCACTGCTTTTAATATGGAGCTACATCACAGGGCACAGGTAACCCACTATTTTGTATTTTATGCCACCTCTGTTAGCTGGTTTACAGAAGGCAATTTTCTAGCAGGCAGGACAATATGGTAAGATTTACATTTACGGAGCTGCAAGAAAATACAAGATATTAATGATTTCTGCCACATACTATATTCCAGCCACCTTTAGCTTTATGATCTATGCAATTACATAGTCACATACTATTTTGACTGGGAACTCTTCCTCCTCATTCAGCACAAGGGAGTGACATTACTCCAAAAGGAAGATCTTACAGTGAAAACAGCTGAATGTCACTCCAGAAAAGCTCTGCTACTGATTTCCTACATAATGGTGGCCAAAGAAAAAACTATTAATTAATGTGCACAAATTATGTATCCTCCATCATCTGGGAGCCCAACACACTGCCTGACAGCAGAAGCTGAAAGCACTTAACTGCAACTGAAATAGATTCAAAGCACTGTCCAAATCATCAGAACAGCTGCAGGAATTACAATCCAGAAGACAAAATTTCTCATTTTGCCTCTTATTGAAAAATATGCAGCATGATTTTTTGAGCAGTTGAGGTCTTCCAGTTACAGCAGCTGAGAGCTCAGTCTAAGCAAGTGCGCTGTATTTCTCTAACATCTTTGCACTGCTCTGTAGTCTAGTATTGAAACCCTCACTGTCCTTAGTCTTCATGTCTCCATCTGTTTAAAGCAACAATAATATGAAGCAGTTGAAAACATATCTGAATGCTTTGCAAATATTTTGGAAGCTGCCAGAAACCAGTGATTTGGCTCCAATCTGTGGAACAGATAAGACACCAATGCTATCTGTCCACAGCAGAGGAAGGACCCTGATCAGCAAGTGCAGTCCATCCCACGTACCAAATGAGACAGCTATCTCGTACGTATATGTAAGGTGACACTCAGCACGCTTGCATTTAGGAAGAGAATGATTTGCAACAAGCACATACACAGCTGCTAACTGTCTAGAAAAATACCTGAGTATAAGGCACCATCATAACACATTTCTGCTATCGAAATCAACAGGTTAAGTACAAACAGCAGATGTAACTTATTCATTTAAGCACACACTAACAAGAAAAACTACTTAAAACAGTGATGCATCCCTTTACATTTAAAGTAATTACTATATACACAGTACTTATTTCCAAACACTCTTCTCTTTCTATTGTTATCAGAGTCAGCAAAGAGCCTATATATCCAAAAGATTTCTCATTAGTTATAAGGACAGACACAGAAGATGACTGCCTATTAGCTCCATGATCTATTTCTGATTTAGCTACTCTTGTCTATAAAAAGATAGTAGCCTTTTTGGGTACAGGATCCTATTTTACAACTTCACATACAAGAAGTAAGAAATTCAAGTTCTTATTCAATTTACGCTTGCTTAAACTAGACTTACCTCTCTTTTAAGTTCATTCATGCACTGGCATGTTTTTAAAATGGCTACTTCCAAGTCTTCCATGAGATCCTTTGTTTTCTGGTTTTGCTACAAGCCAAAGAAAGCAACCGACAAAACATTACACAAAACCCCATCAAATCCCACCTTCACATCATGTGTCATTACATCAAGTTGCTTTAGAAAATAGCTTTTTCTTTCTAGATATAATGTTTTCATTTGCACATCCTGTGTATGCTTTACTTGAAAAATTCTTTTACAGAAACATTTATCATCAAATCAAATTTAAAAATAATAGTGATGAAAGCTAATTAGCTGTTTCTCTTCAACAGGAATTATTTCTGAACCTCACTGTGCTTTTTTCAGGAAAAGGACTTCCTTAAGCTTTACAACTTCCAAAAATCTTCTGTCTAAACATCCTAAAGTTGAGCAACAGTTTAAGGCTTTCTTTTTTTTTTTTTTTTTTTTTTAATATAAATAGTCTTTTAAAATAAAGTGGCACCTAAAACATTATACCAAATGTTCTATATTGAATTACAAGAAGGTTACTTAAAGCATCCTTGTAAGACTTCAGGTCATTATCTAATTTAAACAAGTACAGTAGCTAATAACATTTGTTGAGGTAGCTTCAAGACAGAGCTCCCTCTTCTCCAAATAGGGCCTATCTATGGAATAACCCAAATGTCAAGAGACACACACTAGGAAAAGAGCTATGTAGCAATGATTTTGCATTGTTCTCTGAAATATATGGGAAACGATTATCCTAGGTGGGACCATTAGCATGGCCATAGCTGCAAGAACACTAGCCCCTCAGAGTCTAAATTAACATAAACATGCAGACACACACACACAAAAATGTGTGTAGGTATAGACACCCCCCCCCCCCTTTTAAAAAAATTAGGTATAGACCCCCCCCCCCCCATTTTATTTAAAGGAAAAAACCCCACCCAAGACAGTATGATCATTTCCTCAGGTATTCTTATCTGCTCTAAGTCTCAAAGCTACCTGTCCCTCAAATTTAATGCATTTCTTTAAGTAATTTGTGTAAGAGTGTAATATCACAAAATCATTTTTAACACAAGGAGCACAATGTTTTACACTCACTAGAATGACTTTTTTTTTTCTTTTACTTATTTAATGTACACATTTTTGTTCCTTCTATGTGTAACTTTTTTTTTTTTTAAACACAAGTGAGAAAATTTCCTCACCAAAATAAGGTTATAGGAAAACCTAAGACACCACGGTAGCTTGTGATCTTATGAGCTCAAACATACACTGGATGGATTTCAGAAACATTTAGAATTCAATCAACAGCATTAGATTTTCTGTTGTGCTCCAGTTAGTTTTCATTAACATACAATAATACAAACAAGAGCAGATCAGTGATGTCAGTCTAATTTAGACTTGACCTAGGTTATAAGACAATTCTGATTTAAAATACAGTCTTCACTGAAGATTCACAGTTATTCTGCTTGTTAAAAGGAAGTATGGTGAGTGGCAAGGGAGATAACTGGGCACCCTAATAGCTCTACAGATCCCCATGTATCCTAAAGGCATGACAATTTAGTTTTTTAAAATCAACAACCCCACTTGAATTGCATTAAGTCCCTCAGAAAATATTCATCCTTTGACAAAGCTGCTGAGCTGAAACTAAAAAGCCACCACAGCTAGGCTGGGTTATTTATTAATGAAAATACTTAATGCAAAGGCACACGTGCACGCCCAAGTATTTTCATGGATCATAGAATCATAGAATAGTTTGGGTTGGAAGGGACCTTTAAAGGTCATCTAGTCCAACCCCCTTCAATGAGCAGGGACATCTTCAACCCAGTCAGATTGCCCAGAGCCCCGTCCAGCCTGACCTTCAGTGTTCCCAGGGATGGGGCATCTACCACCTCTCTGGGCATATACATGCATAGTCTCGTACGAGGCTCTCATTTCTATCATTTGAAATGTGGCATGTAAATTATCTAGAGCTGACCAGTTTCCACCAGTAACAGAGCTTAGAAATACCCAAGTGTACCGGTTTTGGCTGGGATAGAATTAGTTTTCTTCACCGTAGCTATATGGGGCTGTGTTTTAGATTTGTGCTGAAAACAGTGTTGATAATACAGGGATATTTTAGTTACTGCTGAGCAGGGCTTACACAGAGACAAGCCTTTTTCTGCTTCTCTCTCTGTCCCACCAGTGAGTGGGCCTGAGGGTGCACAAGAAGTTGGGAGGGGACACAGATGGTACAGTGACCCCAACTGACCAAAGGGATATTCCATACCATATGATGTCATGCTCAGTATATAAAGCCGAGGGAAGAAGCCTAGTCCAACCCCCTTCAATGAGCAGGGACATCTTCAACCCAGTCAGATTGCCCAGAGCCCCGTCCAGCCTGACCTTCAGTGTTCCCAGGGATGGGGCATCTACCACCTCTCTGGGCATATACATGCATAGTCTCGTACGAGGCTCTCATTTCTATCATTTGAAATGTGGCATGTAAATTATCTAGAGCTGACCAGTTTCCACCAGTAACAGAGCTTAGAAATACCCAAGTGTACCGGTTTTGGCTGGGATAGAATTAGTTTTCTTCACCGTAGCTATATGGGGCTGTGTTTTAGATTTGTGCTGAAAACAGTGTTGATAATACAGGGATATTTTAGTTACTGCTGAGCAGGGCTTACACAGAGACAAGCCTTTTTCTGCTTCTCTCTCTGTCCCACCAGTGAGTGGGCCTGAGGGTGCACAAGAAGTTGGGAGGGGACACAGATGGTACAGTGACCCCAACTGACCAAAGGGATATTCCATACCATATGATGTCATGCTCAGTATATAAAGCCGAGGGAAGAAGCAAGAAGGGGGAGTCAGTCCATCGCATTTGGAGTGATGGCGTCTTTCTTCCCAAGTAACCGTTACATGTGATCGAGCCCTGCTTCCCTGGAGATGGCTGAACACCTGCCTGCCCATGGGGAGTGGTGAATTAATTCCTAGTTTTGCTTTGCTTGTGCGTGCAGCTTTTTCTTTGCCTATTAAGCTGTCTTTATCTCAACCCACAAAATTTCACACTTTTACCCTTCTGATTCTCTCTGCATCCCACTGTAGGGGAGTGAGCAGCTGTGTGGGGCTTGCCTGCCTGCCAGGGCTGACCCCCAACACCAAGCCAAACACAGTTTTAGTTTCTTATAGTTATGGTATTCTATGCAATTAATAACCTACATGTGTCATCTTTGTTGTAACAACAGTCTATGTTATCAATAAGATGTATACGCTCTGCAAGCTGCACTGCTGCATTAAGAACACCTGATTGCACCATTTGATTCGAAGAGGAGGAACAAAAATGCTTTCTCATAAGTAATACACTCAGTTAAGCAAGTGTCTGATACTAGTACTCATCTGCCATATTTCAGAGTGTTGATAAGATTCTGTGTTATACGCTTCCCCAGAAACAAGACCAAAATCAAGACAGCATCAAAAACAGAAACAGCATTTTCCATCTCTGCTTTTCCTCTCTCTTTTGCATGTATCTATGATCACCTTCAAGGAACAAGATTACACAAATGACAGAGGGAGACTTAATCTGTTGCTTCTTTAAAAATGAAAACTATCGTCATTTAGATGTTCTAAAAAGGACAAACAAGAATTCCCGGTAAGTTTTAATGTCTCTTTTCTCTCTCTCTGCAAGATCAAAAAAGAGAGTTGCTTTTTTAGAATATTTCCCTTTTCAATAGCTTAAGTATTTTCAACATTGTGTTGAAAAAAAGAAACTGTGGTCACTGCCACAGGATCATCTGAAGTACCCAACCAGGAGACCTCACTTTTTAAGGCTGTGCAATGATACTTCTGTTCGCTGCCTTCTTTCCACTTACGGCTTCATGAAAATTAGGCTACCAACACTAGTAGCATAATTTAGCCATCAAGAATTCACTGAAGCAATACCACCAGGGCAGGGAGAGGACAGAACATACTGAAGCTGCAGAAGCACAGAACAAACTCTGGCTTCCTTGATCAGTTCTCGCTATGAGGAATATATGCAGTTCTTTCTTCCTAGATCTGAAGAAACACTGCATTAAAAATTTCTTTCCAAAGTAGAGGTGAAAAGATTTACTTTGCTAAAAAGCTCTTACAGCTTGCATCCACACTGAAACCAGCTGCTCTAGTTCCATTTTAGCCTGTTTAGACAGCTCCAAAATGTGTTCTCTGTGCTCATGACTGGTATAGGCAGAGTCTGTGAAGTCCTCCGTATGTTCCAGGATAACTTCCAGCATTGTTGAAAGGTTCTCTTTTGAGAGAAAATAAAGATTCTCACGAAGACCCTCCACCTTATTCTGAAAAAGAAGCATGTAAGTTCCTTGAGAATGTATGTGGTTATACAGTTGTGATGCAAATGTAGATCAAAGTGACAGCCTCCAAAGAAATGAGACACGGTTGTCCATTAGCTGTTCTTAACTGAGTATGAAACTTAGAAGAGCCTTTATCAGGAAAACATAGCATTACTCAGAATATAAAGATTTACCTCTACTTATTCTTTACTCTTACACCCTTTAGCACACCTTCTGATACTTGCCATCTCCTCCTGGATCAGAATGCATTCAGAGCAATAATGTTTTGTTGAGGTGATGCCTTGAACATGAAATAAGCTTAAGTACCAGGATACTGATCACAACTTCATTAAAATAGTTCTTGTTGAAGAATTCTTGCTTCATAATTGGCTAGTATCTTTAAAACTGCACACCTCTTGTGTGCAGAGAATCTGACCTTTTGTCAGATTCACTAACATTTTTGGACAGTTATTTAAGTTACACTACTGAAAAGACGCAGCTCCATCATTTAGAATTTTTTTTTTTTCAGAATTCTAGTTTTGAGGTAATCTATTAGGCTGTAGAAAACAATACTATTTCTATTCTTACCTTGAATTCTTTGATGCCAGAATATATACTGATAGGGGCCATTTCATTTTCTCCGTTTGGTCTAGAATCAGTTACAATTTCTATTACCTGTTCCAAAGCTAATCTCATACGATGAAAGACTCCATCTTTGTTTATACGAGCAGATTCACAATCTGGATGCCTCAGACAAGTCTTTTTAAAGAAAGCAAAGTAAGCATTATGAAAGAGTACACATGCAATATAGCAAAATGAATGCTTCCTGCTAAGGCAGGTCTAAAGAATGTGTTAGAATATGATAAATTATTTCTGTTAAACTCCTATTGTGCTAAGTAGAATTCATAGTGTTACTCAGAATATAAAGATTTTTCTCTACTTATTCTTTACTCTTACACCTTTTAGCATGAAGTTTACAGAGGGGCTGAGAAAGAAGAGTCAGCTCTCCCGCCAGATGCCATACTCTGATTTATCCAAGTTGTGTAAGAGCACGCATACTCACTCACCTTTGAGGCAGTTAGGAGCATCATGGTGCACTTCTCAAGAACAGCCCTAGACGCTGCCATTCTAGCCTTTTTCTTCTCATCCTTCAAATCCTAAACACCAAAAGAAAAAATGACCTGAATACTACACAATATCTAAAATGTTAACTGCTTGCGAGACGGGAAAAAAGAAACTCTCTTGCAGATGGATGGGTTGTGAGACAGCTTCTTTATGTCTCACAACTGCTATTTTCAGCATAACTCATGATCTAGAACTTGCTTTTCAGACAGATTTTAATTTATGCATTTATTCTGAGCTCTATTCAATTCAGATTTCAAAGGAGGAAGATCTCAGAGATACAGAGTGTGTTATGTAAACTGCCACTAATTTTGCTAACTTTATCACATAGCATTATTCATAAAAGAGAAAAATGAGGGGAAAAAATACTTAACTAAAAATATTTTCTGTAATGGGGGAGGGTAAGGCAGAAACAGAGAACACCAGCTTTTCACTGTACTGCAGTGAAGAAAATATAAAATAAATCTTTTGTCTACTTGAGTGTTATATTTACTGTATATCAGTAATAAAGAAAGTCTTAGCAGGCTAAAAAAGCAATTCCTCTGTAGAAAGGAATTGAGTATAGGAACTTCTCAAGAACTTTCCAGGGAGAGGGATGTACCTGCAAAACTAAACTATACCCACAGAAAAGTTCATCAAAAGGGAAGAATTTAGAGTCCAAATTGAGATGGGCGAAAGATGGAAGAGGGCAAGACATTAAACCCTTACCATGTAAGGGGTCTAACAGGAGGAAGAATTTACAAAGCTACAACTAAGATCTTCTCAAAGCTAACAAAGATAGCTCAGTGCTATTTGAGTGTTAAACAGGCAACTTAACAGGACCAGCTGAAAAGGGAACAGTTCACAGGGTGGAATTAATCCTAATTTACTCTAGATTAGCAAACCCACCACCCCAGCAATAACCCAGATAAATCACTGCTGCAGTCCTTTTTGAGATTTTTATAAAAATCTCATTTAGCAACTACAGAAAATCTTTAAGATCAGGATCCCCACATTTAAACCAAACCAAAAAAACCCCACCACAGCTCTTGTCTGAAATTCTGACATTACATTCTGATAAATCTGACCATACTCAAGAGTTTCTGGCATACTTACTATAATTATACTAAGGAAAAATACCTTCATGGATGTTTCCTCCGAATACAACTAACAATGCCACATAGCAGCCTACACACTGTAAAGTGAGCATATCAAGAAAGTCCTGACACAATTTAAAAAGTACTAATGAAACACTCTTATAGGGGAGAGTCAGTTAACACTGAAAACCAAAAATAGTTGAAAAGAGTATCACTTACTAGTAATGCACCTTTCTCTTTCCTAGGAACAACCGCTATGAATATTTCAGGGTAAAATAAAGAGAGTTCATTTCCAAGCACGTATTTCCTTTAATTATATGTAGCTGTCCTGGTTTCTGCTGGAATAGAGTTAATCTTCCTCCTGATTGCTGGTACAGTGCTGCATTTTGGATTTGGGATGAAAATAACGTTGATAACGTGCTGATGTTTTTAGTTGTTGCTAAGCAGTCAAGGACTGTCTAGCTTTTCATGCTGGCCTGCCAGCGAGGAGGCTGTGGGTACACAGTAAGCGGAGGGGACACAGCCGGGACAGCTGACTCAGGGTATATTCCATACCATACGACGTTATGCTCAGTATATAAACCGGGGGAGTTGGCCGGAGAGGGTGCACAGCTCGGGAGGTAACTGGGCATTGGTCAGTGGGCAGTAAGCAACTGTGCCGTGCACCACTTGCTTTCTATATTCTTCTATCATTATTATTATCTTTATTACTATTCTCTTCCTTTTCTTTCCTATTAAGCTGTCTTTATCTCAACCCACAAGTTCTACCTTTTTTTTTTCCTGATTCTCTCCCCCATCCCACTGGGGTGTGTGGTTATTTTAGTTACCTGCCAGGTTAAACAACAGCCATCCTGAATCAAAACAATAGCTAAAACACTGGTGTGATACAAACACAGCTGCGTGGTGGTTTCAGCTACCTGCCAGGTTAAACCACAACAGCAGCTTTTCCAGAACTGATTCTTTGATACTGAGCATGTACTTAGCAGACTCAGAACACATCAGCAGTAAAAGGAGTGTGGCATGTGTTTTTAGCAAAGTTCTCCAATGTTTCACCTGAAGGAGGCTGTGCACAACAAACTACCTCTATATGCATAAGGTTGGCTAATTGTTTATAAAAATTGAATTCTGAATTTTGCTGGTTATTAGGAACTGTGGCAGGTTGACCCTGGCTAGAAGCCAGGTACCCACCAAAGCGACTCCATCACTCCCCTGGCTCAGCTGGGCAGGAGAGAGAGGATGTAACGAAAAGTCTTGTGGGTCAAGATAAGGACAGGGACAGATCAGTCAGCAATTACTGTCACGGGCAAAACAGACTTAATTGAAAAAACACAACAACCAGCTTTATTTATTACCAGTCAAATCCGAGTAGGATAATGAGAAATAAAAACTAAATC